CTCCCCTCGTTCTCGACGAACTTGGTGAGTGGTGCAGACCTACAGGATGCGGGGGTTCACCAGTTCACTCCTGCGAGTCAGCGGGTGACCCACTGCACGGACGCACGCACAGGCCGGCACCTGGCCACGTTCTCGCGTCGGCCGGGGTCGAGCCTCTACACCCTGACCACTGAGTCTCCTCCTGTCCCCGCGTCCGGTCAGGTAGCAGCGTCGGGTCAGGTGTTTGCTGCTGCGTCCAGGTCTGGTCCTGAGTCTGCCCCCTGTTCGTGTCGCCTCCTGTCTCACGAGACTCTCCTGTGGCACCACCGTCTAGGCCACCCCTCCTTGCCCCGTCTTCGGGGCATGGCTTCCCGTGTCCTTGTCTCTGGTCTTCCCCAGTCTCTCCCTCCCCTTCCTTCGGGACCAGGACCTTCCTGTGTCCCCTGTGTCGAGGGGCGCCTCAGGGCTGCTCCTCACTCCTCCCAGTTTCCCCCGACAGAGGCTCCTCTGCAGACGCTTCACATGGACGTGTGGGGCCCGGCCCCCGTCCGTGGGCAGGGTCACGAGCGCTACTTCCTGTTGGTGGTTGACGACTACTCGCGTTACACCTCAGTCTTCCCCTTGCGCAGCAAGGGTACTGTCACTGAGGTGCTGATCGACTGGATCCGCGAGGCTCGTCTCCAGCTCAGGAGGAGCTTCGGCTCGGACTTTCCTGTTCTGCGTCTGCACTCTGACCGAGGTGGGGAGTTCTCCTCTCGCCTTCTGCGAGACTACTGTCGTGCACAGGGGATCCGCCAGACCTTTACGCTTCCGGACTCTCCACAGCAAAATGGGATTGCTGAGCGCCGCATTGGCATGGTCATGGATGTCGCTCGTACGTCCATGATGCATGCGGCTGCCCCCCATTTTCTGTGGCCGTTTGCGGTTCGGTACGCGGCGCATCAGCTCAACCTTCACCCCAGGGTCTCTCGGCCCGCGATGTCCCCAGTGTTACTGTGGACGGGGAAGGTCGGCGATGCGTCTGCGTTCCGTGTCTGGGGATCTCGGGCGTTTGTCCGCGACTTGTCTGCGGACAAGCTGTCCCCCCGTGCTGCTCCCTGTGTCTTCCTTGGCTTCCCCCTTGACGCTCCAGGGTGGCAGTTCTACCACCCCTCCTCTCGTCGTGTTCTGTCCTCCCAGGACGTCACGTTCGACGAGTCAGTCCCCTTCTACCGCCTCTTCCCCTACCGTACTCCTTCCCTCCCCCCCCCATCGGACTTCCTGGTGCCAGTTCCCCCCCCGGTAGACCCCCTCCCCCCTCAGGTTCCTGCCCCTTCAGGTGTGTCCCAGGTAGACACAGTCGAGCCAGTCGAGGTTGCTGCTGAGTCTGGTCCTGCTGCGGGTGGAGAGTCTGGGGGTGCTACGCCTGCGGGTGCTGAGCTTGGGGGTGCTGCTGCTGGGGGTGCTGAGCCTGGGGGTGCGAGGCCGGGGGGTGCTGAGCTTGGGGGTGCTGCTGCTGGGGGTGCTGAGCCAGGGGGTGCTACGTCAGGAGCTGCTGAGCCTGGGGGTGCTGAGCCTGGAGGTGCGGAGCCTGCGACTGCTGGGCGGGAGCCGCTCTCTCCACAGGAGCTGCGCGAGTGGTTTGCTCGCCGCTGGAGGCGTGCTGCTGGAGCTGGAGCTTCTTCGCTTGCTGAGGGTGCTGCCAGTCCCGGAGCTGCTGGGCCTGCGAGTCCTACTGGAGCTGGAGCTACTGAGTCTGGGGGTGCTGAGTCTGGAGCTGCTGAGCCTGGAGGTGCTGAGTCTGGAGCTGCTGAGCCTGGGGGTGCTACGTCTGGAGCTGCTGTGCCTGGGGGTGCTGAGTCTGGAGCTGCTGAGCCTGGGGTTTCTCCTGCTGCTGCGTCTCGCCGGGAGCCCCTCTCTCCACAGGAGCTGCGCGAGTGGTTTGCTCGCCGTTGGAGGAGTGCTGCTGGAGCTGGAGCTTCGTCGACCGTCGAGGGTGCTGGTGCTGCCGGTCCCGGAGCTGCTGGGCCTGCGGGTCCTACTGGAGCTGGAGCTGCTGAGGGTGTTGGTGCTGAGACTACTGCTGTCTGTCCTGGCGGTGGTTCTGCTGCTGGTGCTGCTGGAGGTCCTGCCGCTGGAGGTGTTGGTGGCGCTGGTGCTGTCGCTGAGGGTGCTGGTGCTGTCCCTGCTGAGTCTGGAGCTGCCGCGCGGCCTCGGCCGTACTTCGTTCCGCTCCTACAGCAGGTTCTTGGTCTTTCTCCTTCGGTAGAGTGTCCACAGCCTGTCCAGTCGCAGTCACTGTTGGAGCCTTCCTCTCCTCTGCCTTCTCCCTCTCCTTACACTGGTCCTACTGGAGGTCTTGCTGAGCGTCGTGAGCCTGCGTCTCGTCCCGCGTCGCCGGTTCGTGCTGCTCGCGCTAGTGGTCGCGGTTCGCGTCAGCGTCCTCCTCCTGTCCCTGGCACGCACCGGATGTCTCTGCGTCCGTCCACTGCTCCTCTACGTGCCCCTTTGCCTTCTCCTCCTGAGTCCTCTCTTCCTGCGCTTGCCGACCCTGAGTCGGACTTTCTTCGCGCTGCCAGTCCTACTGTCACGCGTCTGCTTGCTACTGTCGTCACTGACCCCTCTTTTGAGTCCACTGCTGCGTCTGCTCTAGTCGCTGAGCTCGTTGACTTTGCTGCTCGCTGTCGTCTCGACTACGCTGCTAGTCTTGTTGCTGAGTCTGCGTCTGTCTGTCCTCCGTCCGTCGGGGGTGAGTGTGCTCTTGGCACGGACGTCCTAGAGGACAGGCAGGAGGAGTTACAGTGTCTAGCGGCTGCTTCACCTCATCTCGCGTCTGTACTGCTTGCCCCTGAGGGAGACCCGGATGCACTAGACATCCCGACTCCGCGTTCTTACGCGGAGGCCGTAGAGGGTCCCTACTCCTCTCAGTGGCAGGCAGCTATGGATGCAGAGATGGCTTCCTGGAAGTCCACAGGCACCTACGTTGACGCGGTTCCCCCTCCTGGGGCGAACATCGTCAGTGGCATGTGGATCTTCAGGGTGAAGCGGCCGCCGGGCTCTCCACCTGTCTTCAAGGCACGGTACGTTGCTCGTGGCTTCAGTCAGCGGCAGGGAGTTGACTACTTTCAGACCTTCTCTCCCACCCCGAAGATGACCACTCTTCGGGTGCTGCTGCACATAGCCGCTCAGCGCGACTACGAGCTTCACTCTCTCGACTTCAGCACTGCGTTCCTGCAGGGTAGCCTGCACAAGGAGATCTGGCTGCGCCGTCCACCTGGCTTCACTGGGACTTTCCCTCCTGGCACCCAGTGGAGCCTCCGACGGCCAGTCTACGGTCTCCGCCAGGCACCGCGTGAGTGGCACGACACACTGAGGACTACGCTTGCGGCTCTTGGGTTTGCTCCTTCTACTGCTGACCCGTCGCTGTTTCTGCGCACCGACACTTCACTGCCGCCGTTCTACATCCTCGTGTACGTCGACGACTTGGTCTTTGCCACAGCGGACACTGCTGGACTCGCCTACGTGAAGTCCGAACTGCTGAAGAGACACACGTGCACAGACCTGGGTGAACTGCGCAGCTACCTTGGCTTGCAAATCACTCGGGACAGAGCACGCCGCACCATTACCTTGACTCAGTCACACATGGTGCAGCAGGTCCTTCAGCGCTTTGGCTTCACGTACTCCTCGCCTCAGGCCACTCCTCTGCCTACTCGCCACTCACTCTCAGCTTTGCCTTCGGATGAGTCCGTAGAGTCGAGTGGTCCGTATGCAGAGCTTGTTGGCTGCCTCATGTACCTGATGACCTGCACACGACCTGACCTTGCATACCCTCTGAGCATTCTTGCACGCTATGTTGCTCCTGGGAGACACAGACCAGAGCACATGGCTGCAGCGAAGAGAGTATTGCGCTACCTGTGCAGTACGTCGGGCATGGGGCTAGTGCTTGGAGGGCGGAGTCCAGTGGTCCTTACCGGCCACGCGGACGCTTCTTGGGCTGACGACCAGGCTACGCAGCGGTCGTCACAGGGTTACACCTTCAGCCTTGGTTCCGGCTCTGTCTCGTGGCGGTCTACTCGCTCGTCTTCGGTTCTCGGCTCCAGTTGTGAGGCTGAGATCTACGCCGGGGCCATGGCTGCACAGGAGCTTCGCTGGCTCACCTACCTGCTGACTGACCTTGGAGAGCCACCTCGTTCTCCTCCAGTGCTGTACGTAGACAACAAGGCCATGCTGGCCTTGTGTCGAGAGCAGCGCTTGGAGCACAGAACGAAGCACATTGCTCTCCGCTACTTCCTTGCTCGTGAGCTGCAGCAGCGTGGTCAGTTGCGACTTGCGTACGTGGCCTCTGAGGCCAACACTGCTGATGTGTTCACCAAGGCACTCGCGCCTTGTGACCATCAGCGCTTTTGCACCCAGCTGGGTCTTGTGCCTGTCTTGCCTCACTTGCTCTCCTCTTGACTTCACTTGTACTGTGACATATATATATACCTGCTCTTGCTTGTCTAGTTTTATATATATGTCTGTACTCCTGCATGTGAACTGGCCTCTGGCCCTGCTCTTGTGCTCGGACTGTGTGGTGACTTTGTGATCCACCCTGAGCTTGCTTTGCTTTGCTTGACTGGTCTTGTGACCCCTTGTTCTCCCCCACTTTGCCTATGGGGGTGTGTCAAACATTATATATGTTCTGCTTGTGTAGGCTACAGTGGGTTAGCCTATAGGGGGTACACAATTCTAGGGTTTCCTACTTGTACTCATTTCACTGCTAGTTCATTCATTCCTGTTCGCTTATTCTCACAGGTTCCCCTGTGCATCGGGTTCTGTATTCGTATTTTAACCATCAAGCATCAGATTCCCTTTTACCATGCAAAGGGCATGATTACCTGGTTTTCCATTTTCCATTTGCCAAGCTTCTGGTTCACATTCCGTATGCATCACGCGTCTCATTCATATTTCCATGCACTGCGCATCAGATTCCCATTGCCCATGAATCAGCCATTCGATTCCCATTCCCGATGAAGCTTACACGTTTCGTTGTATGAGGTCTCATGCGCCTCTACCCATGTCTTAAGAAGCTAGGCCGGCTGGCTGGTGGAGCAGCAAGTGGATGCAGAGGGGAGTTCACCACCAAGAGCCCGGCAATGGGAAGTGCAAGTGGGTGGGTGGAGGGGAAGGTCGGGTGAGGGCAGAGAAAAGCTCACTTGCTATGGCATGGTGAGGTCGGAGAAGGGTGTGAGCTGTTGATATGATTTGTTGGCAGCAGAGGGTGCTTGGGCATCTGCAGCAGCTTGCACAGCGCTTGGAGTATCATGCTGGGACGGGAGGGATGTCATGGTGTTATGGTGCCTGTATATCATGCCAGCTTGAGTGGGGTGTCATGGTGCCATGGTGCTTGGATATCATGCAAGGCTGGGAGGGGTGTCACGGAGTTAAGACGCGTGTTTGTCATGCCGGCCTGAGAGGGGTGTCATGGAGTCATGGCGCGTGACCCTCTGGTTTGGCTGCCATGAGCACCATGCGGGTTGGATGAGTTGCCCACGAGTTGGTGAACACTCCTGAGGCTGCGACTCGAGTAGGGATGAGCAAGGGGCAAACACGAACGTGTTCGTGTTCGCCCCTACACGAACAGTGCTCGGTTCGGCGAACACTTTGAGCAAAAACAGGTATTCGCCGTTCGCCTGTGAAGGCGTGTTTGGGCGAACCTCGAACACGTTCGTGTTCGACCAGGGGCAAATTGCAGCAGCAGCCCGAACACGAACGTGTTCGGGCGAACCTTGATCACTGTTCGGTGAACACTTGAAGCAAAAAAAACAAACCTGTTCGGTTCGCCTGTGTTCGTTTTCCTGCTCATCCCTAGACTGGAGCCTAGCAGAAAGCACCAGATCGCATGCCTCAGGCATCTTATCTCATTCCAATCTTCCATCCATGCATCAGGCATCTTATTCCCCTTCACCATGCATGGCATCTCATCCCATTTCCCGTGCATAAGGCTCTGATGTTCTAGTTTCAAATGCCACATGTCGCTCTTTTTATTTCTCATACATCAGGTATCATCGTCACTTTTCATGCATCATGCATCTGATTTCGGATACCCATATGGCATCTGACTCCCATCTCCGGTACCAGCCATTGAACTTCCATTCCCCCTGAATATAACATTTCATGCTCCAGCAGTGTGTTCTATGAGGTCAGGTGTTCCACCCATGAACCATGACCCATGACCTATGACCCCTTTTACCTGCCTTCTCTTTTTCTCTCAGTGCTTCCATTTTCTTCACTGTTCTCATCTTTTAGGATGAAAGGGCATAGAACAGTGCATGCTGTATAATTTTTCCATTGGTTGAAGTTCATTGGCTTGGCTTGGCCTCGCTCATGTGTCAGAAGTGCCAGGTCTGACCTTACAGAGTCACATGTGTCACATTGAGTCAGGGTCAGGGAAGCTGCTATGGGGAACTGATGTCATGTTGATTAAAGCCCGAGGTCAGCATGGTAATTTTTCAAGTTATGTGGGCTGGAAACAGTTCGCGAAAACCTGAAAATCGTGAATTTCGAAAATGTGTGTGGGGCGAAACCGAATTCAGGAGGTGGGAAAAACAGTCTTCGCCACGATACTATGCGACAGCTGTCCCCGAGGAAATGGGAGGGCCGAACGACCCAGTGTGCAACAGAGCACTGCTCCCGCCCCAGCACTGGTGGGGCACACTGCGCTTCTCTTGGGGTTGAAATGGTGGGGAACGCGAAAATCACGCGAGTAAGAGTGAGGCAGTACACTGAACAATATTTCCTGTGATTACTAATCGACTAAAATATTTGGATAAGTTTGAGACAATACAAGGAGACAGGGAAGGGGATGGGGGAAAGCAGGGAACGGGATGGGGGGAAGCAGGGAAGGGGATGGGGGGGAGCAGGGCAGAGGGTAGGGGGAAGCAGGGAAGGGGATGGGGGGAAGCAGGGAAGTGGATGGGGAGAAGCAGGGAAGGGGATGGGGGGAAGCAGGGAAGGGGATGGGGGGAAGCAGGGAAGGGGATGGGGGGAAGCAAGGAAAGGGATGGGGGGAAGCAGGGAAGGGGATGGGGAGAAGCAGGGCAGGGGGTGGGGAGAAGCAGGGAATGGGATGAGGGGAAGCAGGGCAGAGGGTGGGGGGGAGCAGGGAAGGGGATGGGGGGGAGCAAGGCAGAGGGTGGGGGGAAGTAGGGAGCGGGATGGGGGGAGCAGGGCAGAGGGTGGGGGGAAGCAGGGAAGGGGATGGGGGGGAGCAGGGAAGTGGATGGGGAGAAGCAGGGAAGGGGATGGGGGGAAGCAGGGAAGGGGATGGGGGGAAGCAGGGAAGGGGATGGGGGGAAGCAAGGAAAGGGATGGGGGGAAGCAGGGAAGGGGATGGGGAGAAGCAGGGCAGGGGGTGGGGAGAAGCAGGGAATGGGATGAGGGGAAGCAGGGCAGAGGGTGGGGGGGAGCAGGGAAGGGGATGGGGGGGAGCAAGGCAGAGGGTGGGGGGAAGTAGGGAGCGGGATGGGGGGAGCAGGGCAGAGGGTGGGGGGAAGCAGGGAAGGGGATGGGGGGGAGCAGGGCAGAGGGTGGAAGGAATCAGGGCAAAGGGGGAAGTAGGGCTGGTGGGAGAACGGGTGGTTGGGAAAAACAGAGACAGGGGGCAACAATTTGGGGGAAGTGAGGGCGATGAGGGAAAGCGCGTGGGGGAAAAGAACATCTGCATACCCTTCTGTCCTATCCCCTCTGTGTCTCTCATTCAGTCCCTTCCCCTCAGGAGGAAGAAGGGTGGAAGAAAGGGTGAGAGAGAGGTTTGAAGAAAGAGAGATAGAGAGAGGGAGAGGGAGGGAGGGAGAGATGGAAGGGAGGAAGAGGAGAAGAGCGTATGACAAGCGGAATAGAATGTGGGGAGGAAGGCGGGTGGTATGTGGGGGAGATGGAGGCGGGTATGTGGGGAGGCGAGGGCGACGGGCAGAAGCGAGGGTGTTATGGCGACGAGGAAAACGAAGACGTTGAGGAGGAGAGCGAGAGATGAGAAGAAGCGCGGGTGACGGGGAAGCAAGGGCGACGACGGGAAGCGCGGGTGACGGGGAAGCAAGGGCGACGACGGGAAGCGCGGGTGACGGGAGAGCAAGGGCGACGACGGGAAGCGCGGGTGACGGGAGAGCAAGGGCGACGACGGGAAGCACGGGTGACGGGGAAGCAAGGGCGACGACGGGAAGCACGGGTGACGGGGAAGCAAGGGCGACGACAGGAAGCGCGGGCGACAAGCAGAGGCGAGGGCGGCGAGGGTCGGCGAGGGAGATGAGGGAAATTGCGGGCAACGAGGAAAGCGGTATGACGTGGGAAAGAGCGGCCGACGAGGGGGAACATATGAGACTAACGGCAGCGCGCGTCTGGCGACCCTGTACGGCATTCGCGTGAGCGACCCGTGCCTAGAACGGTACGATCGGGTCGCGAGGCTGAACCGCAGCGAGTGTGAAAAAGAGCAACTTGTGCGACGCGAGCTTGAAAGCAAGGCGCGAGTAACGCGACGATTGTTCACTAACGTAAGTGCTGCGGGTGAACGGGTTGTAACACGAGACCGGCGACGTGAGGGGGAAATCGGGGCGTGCACTGACTAAGATGGTTGAGGTGGATACCTTTTTTTTTCCCGCACAAAAAAAAGCCCTAACAACGACTCGCTTTTGCCGACTAACGCTAGTTTTTGTCTTGGAGCCTCCTAGTCTATGAGTACGACTTGGTAAGCAAGTTATGTGAGTGGTGAACAGTGCATATGGTTGGCGATCATCGCGTCAGTTCTGTTTTTGGGCTCTCGGATTCCGTTGTCGCAGGATGATTGCCTGGGGTTGCGAGAGTTTCTTCAAAACAAGTAAGGTAACAATGTTTTTTGCGATTTCAAGTTCAAGAATCTTGAACTTGAAAATTACCATGTTGTACCCGGGCTTTAAATTCCAAGGTATGATGTTATGCATCTCGACTTTTTTTGGCAACGATGCTCATGTATACACGACTCGTGGAATATGTGGCATACCAAAATCTATTCCTGTCACACTGTTGCACTCCGCTGAACATTGTCTGCTGGACAAATGTGAACGTGTTAATGTAAATTAATTATGTGCTATTGATGTCAATAGAGTGTTCATTATGTTTTGATAAAAAATAACTAGTAGAACATCAAGACTTTGTTGCCGAGAGGATCAATTTAGAGTGAAGATTAAAACCAGATGGAAACGAAACCAGATGTACAATTAACATGATTGAAAACGAAACCAGGTGCAAACATGTAAGGGGTATGCCACCTAGAGTTTCGTGCACCAGCTGGATCTCACAGCTCGCTACTCACTAAGATAGCCATCCCAGCTTCTCTGGCTGACCAAACACTAGCACGGAGCAACTTTGATCGACGGTGTAGATTTGCTGCTGGATAAGTAGGGCCTCCAGACGACGCATGAGTAACATGGCACTTGGTTCCTCCTGTCAGCCACCCTCACCTTCCCTCGTCGTCGGAAAGAACCGCCGCCCATTTGTCACATGACTTAACCCGTGAAAACTCGCCACGCATGTCGAGAGTGGATCCACGTCGGAGGTGCGCTATGTGCGGTTCAGGAACAATGTCGGTGCAATCATTCCATGCGCTGCAATGTCGGTGCCATTGACGGTTCCGGAAACGGTAGAGTGTTTCCAGCCTTTCGTTTGCATCCCAGCCGCTGCTTTTCCTTCCCCGCCGGCTCATTTCGCGTCATCCACGTGAATGTGATGGCAATGAGATGCCTTGGTCGATTGATCTTATCCGTTCATGAAGTTCTAGATTGGTTCGTGAAGATCCAATGGCTGTCGACCGAGCTGATCAATTATAGCGCGCTGGCAACCATTGCTAACATTTCGGAGGGAGCGTGGGGCTCCGACAGCCGGGGATCGAGCCTAAGAAGGCTCCCACATTGGCGGGATCTCGAAGCTAGAGCCACACCGAACCCATTCCGAACCGCGCTGCCTGGTTGTGCGGCCTACAGGAGGTAGTGAGGCAACGGGCACTTGCCTGGCTTGGCTGTGAGTACAAGTGACCAAGGCAATGAGTATTCCTCTTCAATCACACCTCGATTGTTCGAGCTTTATTTGAGTCACATCCCGTTTGATCTATCCACCTACTGCTAGAACCTCTTGCTGGATTTTGTTGTCGGAACTCTTGCTAGATCGTTCCAGCTTACACTCGTTGAATCGAATGGCCCTTATCCACCCTGAATCGGCTCTCGCTCTAGCTGTTGCTGCTGCCGCTTGCTTTGGCGACGCTGCACAATACTTCTGGGACGTTCCGAGCTGGCTCGCCTGCTCGCCAGCAAGTTCCACTCCGTTTGAATGGCTGACGGAGTGGACGGATGCTGATGAAATCGAGTTGAGAAGCGGCTCTGTCAAGAGCAGCTCAACTCAAAATGACGAAGATGAGCTTCTGCCGCTGCTGCTGCTGGCGGATTACGATCTGGTGGACCCTCGTGAGTTTATAACCACTGAATGGACGCCAGAGGATGAGGCGTACCTGAGAACTGGTGTTCTCAGCCTTGGTGACAGTGAGAGTGACTGCGAATGGCTGACAGAAAATTCGCAGGTGGACCCCTCTGAGTTCATCACCGAGTGGACGGACGCTGATGAAGCGTATCTGAGAGACACGACTCCCAGGTGCTTCTCAGCACCGAGTGAGGGTGACAGGCTGCTGCTGTCGTCAAAGCTGAAGCCTATGACAGCAGCTGCTGTGGCGTACAGGGTTGGCAGGTTTGCTGAAGTGACCAGCAAGCGGGAATGTCGTGCTCCTTTAGGCTTTTCACGGTTGAGACCTGCTGTGGTCCGGGCTGCTGCTGCAGCTATGGGTGCTGTTGCTTCTGCTGTGGGTGCTGCTGCTGATGCTGTGGTTGCTGCTGCTGACGCTGTGAGTGCTGCTGCTGTCAATGCTGCTGCTACTATCGCTGCATCATCGGCAGCACCTTCAAAGCCGGCAGTCAAAGTTGCAGCTTCCAGGCCAGCAGCAAAGGTTGCAGCTTCCAAGCCAGCAGCAAAGGCTGCAGCTTCCAAGCCAGCAGCAAAGGCTGCAGCTTCCAAGCCAGCAGCAAAGGCTGCAACTCCCAAGCCTGCAGTCAAGGCTGCAGCTCCCAAGCCTGCAGTCAAGGCTGCAGCTCCCAAGCCTGCAGTCAAGGCTGCAGCTCTCAAGCCTGCAGTCAAGGCTGCAGCTCCCAAGCCTGCAGTCAAGGCTGCAGCTCCCAAGCCTGCAGTCAAGGCTGCAGCTCCCAAGCCTGCAGTCAAGGCTGCAGCTCCCAAGCCTGCAGTCAAGGCTGCAGCTCCCAAGCCTGCAGTCAAGGCTGCAGCTCCCAAGCCTGCAGTCAAGTTTGCAGCTCCCAAGCCTGCAGTCAAGGCTGCAGCTCCCAAGCCAGCTGCAGCTTGCAAGGCTGCAGTGAAACCAACAGCAGCTCCTGCCACGGCCAGTGCCAGTGCTTCTCGTGTGGCGCCTCTGAGGCAAACAGTGCAGAAGGGGTCGCAGGGAAGAACAAGGAGGTCAAGTGGGTAAGTAAGTCAGGCTGCACAAGCATCCTGACAGAAACAATTATCTCATATTCCTAGGTGGAAATAAAGATTCCCTAGATACTTTGTATATATTTATGTATATTGTAAATTCTATTCATGAATGTGTGATTTTTAACCTGTTTGGTGAATATATCTACTGCATTGTTCAACAGTAGATGGGGTACAAAAGTTGAGTACAAATCTTTTGAATATGAGGAGTCCACTCCAGTTTTATATATTTTTTCTTCACCTTCATAAGAGTTGCTTGGGCCTGATTTCAGTGTGCTCCTGTCGCTGGAGAATCCTGAGGGACGTTGAGTCCAGGCCCTGAATTCCAATGTCTCATGCTTCTCACCTTTTCGGTTTTCAAAAGTTGGCCGTTTAGTTTATGTTTCCGATGCTCAGGCATGAGCTTCTTCCATTTCCCATAAACCAGGCAACATTCTATGCATCAGGCGTTTGGTTCCCATAATTCTGTCCATCAAACATCTGATCTCCATTTCCCTTGCACCTGCCATATGTTCTTTTGTAATCCGTGAATTCAGCATGTATCAATTATCCAATTTTCATCCTACATGCATCAGGCATGTGATCCCTATTTCCAATGCATCATGCGTCGAATTCTCAATTTACCATGCATCAGGCATTGAATTCTACTGATAACCATATATCAGGCATCCGAATCCACTTTCCATATATGAAGCATTTGCTTCAGGCATCCCGAACCTCAGCTTTCGCATTTTGCCATTGTCATGCATTTTTTTCGTTTTCCATTTTCCAGGCAACCTAATTTGCCCCCAGTTCCAAGGTATTGCTTTGTTTCCGTATCGGTACTCTTTGGTGTCTTAACCTTTTCCTTGTTGTGTGCAAGTCGTATGTGCTTTGACGGGTGTTACAAACTGCAGCAACAACGATGTGAAGGGCCTTGTGGACAAGTACACTGTGCTATGAGGCAGAGATGTTGCT